ATTAGTCAATCAGAGAAAGACAAAAATCATATGACTTCACTCATATGAAGACTTTAAGAGACAAAACAGATGAACATAAGGGAAGGGAAACAAAAATAATATAAAAACAGGGAGGGGACAAAACAGAAGAGACTCACAAATATGGAGAACAAACTGAGGGTTACTGGAGGGGTTGTGGGAAGGGGGATGGGCTAAATGGGTAAGGGGCACTAAGGAATCTACTCCTGAAATCATTGTTGCACTATATGCTAATTTGAATGTAAATTTTAAAAAATAAAAAGTAAAATTAAAAAAAAAAATAAACGAACATGATAATACTAAAATCTCCACTCAAGGAGGAGCACAAGCCTCATTTACATAATATACACTGCATGTATAGGCATGGATCCTTAAGGTGCATGCACAACCTTATGCCCACCTCTAACATGTGATGACAAGGCCCTCCTTATCTAAATATTCATCCTAACCCCAAATAAAAGGAATCCATTCATCTTTGCTTAGGGAGTCACAGCTTCAGAAGTTATTACCCATGATCTCCTTAGTTGCTGCAAATAAAGTTTACTTTGTGAGCTCTACGTGGTGTGGTCTCTATCTGTGATTCATTAAAAATCAAACTCACTTTAGTTTGGTTACAGGATCTTAGTGCTCATCAAATGTTTCTAGATATTGATTGTGGTACAGCTGCATGATAAAACTGCATAAGCCTGCATACATATACAAATGAGTACTTCTAAAACTGGTGAAATCTGAATAAACTCTGTGGCTTCTATCATTGTCAATTTCCTGGTTTTGACATTGTATTATGGTTATGTAGGGCATTACCACTGGGGGAAATTGGATGAAGCGTGCATGAGACCTCTCTGTTCTATTTTTGCAACTTTCTATGAATCTATGGTTATTTCCATATAAAAAAAAATGTATCCAGGCTTCTTTACCACAACCATCAACAGTACGCCATCAAAAGACACCAGTGTCTGAAAGAGTATGGGAGTCATATTAGAGCTCCCCTGCAGAGATGAAACCAACTGCCTCTTTCCTTGATTCAACATTTCCTGAGAGTCAACTGGGAATTCGGCCTTGTGTTGAAAGCTAAGTGATAGGAGATGCATCATTTAGGATCCCTTCCCAAGTGAGCTTCCAAACTAGTGCTAATGAAAAGGCCTAATATGGTAAGAACATTGTACTACAAGTCAAAAGAATTCTGTTCTCATGGAACCACTTACTAGTTTTTTTAGTTTGGACCAATCCATTTCCTTGTGGTGCACTGAGTTCTTAACCTGGAAAATTCAGGAGAATGGAACACATATAAATATATTTTAAACTTAACCTGGGCCCTGTGGGTGGGTTCAAGGATATCTGGAAACCACCTGAAATTATATGCAGATGTACGAAAATTCCAGAAGAGATACTGTAACTTTTTTTTTTCAGATTCTGGGGGCTTACTCACCCATACAGTTCAGAATAACTGAATCTAATTTTTGGATTTGATGTCTAAGGTCCTTTCCATTCTAACATTCCATAATTCTAGCAGATCTCCAAGATCTCTCCATTTCTAATATCTCATTATTCAATAGGGATGCAAGGAATGGACTAGAGATCTAACATTCTGTGATTTCATGGACCACAGAGTTCACTCCCTTTCCTGAGAGTTCAAGGATTCAGTTTTTCAACATGGAACTCTAGGCTCTCTATGATTTAACTTACAAATGACCTTCCAACCTCAGCTTTTATCCCTTTCCCAGACCCTGGCCACTCCCTCCTGTAGTCTAAAGTTTCCACAAAGTTTTGCTCCCATTCACTCTGTGCCTCAGCACTGGCAATGCCTTCTACCTAGAATGCCCCTAAATCCACCCTTTTTCTTGAATCTCAATTTAAAGTTCTCCTCCCCAGTAAAGTCTTCCATGACTCTTCATCCTTGCAGCAAGGTTCGATGTGCTCTCTTAGCCCTGGACACTGACTGCCTGTTACCACCCAGAGAATAGGACTGTTGGTTGGTTCACTCAGGGCAGTGAATCAAAATGCCAAGGGACGAGGCAGAAGTAAAGGTTTGAAGCTAGTAGGCCTAACAAACTCTACGTCTCTGTTTTCCCACCTCTGGAAATAAAGAAAAATATCACCTTTAAGGAAAACAACATGAAAGCAATAGTAAATGTAAACAGCATTCTGTTTCAGAGACAAAAAGGAGTGGTGGGGATTGAGGCCATCCAGGACAGGACTGAGCATCTTTGTCTAAAAGAATGCTACTCAGCTCTAGGTAATTGTCGATTGGCAGGAATGTGGGTGGGACCAATGTGTTCAGTTCATCCACTTTCTCACAAAAGCCAGAAATCAGATTTGCATGTGAAATCTCCCAATTTTAAACGTCAATAACTAAAAAATATTCAAGACCCACTACATGACTTTCAAGGTTTTTAGGCTGTGAAAACTGTTCTGTGAGGATCCACTTCTACCTATCCAGGAGAGCACATCCTATGGGGGAGGCCAATTTTATATCAGGGCTGCTGGTGTATTGCAAGTTACAGTAAACAGGCCCACTCCTGCACAAAGCAGATACAAAACCCTTCACAGGAGGCTTCTCTCTCTGGGCCTTAGTTTCCCTACCTGTGAAATGGCAATACAAAACATAATTGTGAGTCAGCTGTCAAATAGAATATATCACTTACTGAAGGGCTGTCAGAGCTAGATGCTTTTATATGCACTGTCTCGCTGAATTCTCATGATTTCTGAGGTAAATTTTATTACCTCCACATTTTACAGATAAAAGAACTGTAGCTCAGAAATAGCAATTTACCTAATGAAGTCGGTAACAAACATTTAAAAAGCCCTTACTTTCCAAGAGCTTTAATGATTTAATCCTCTCAACAAGTCTCAAATGGGGGACACCACCAAGGCAGCCGCAGTGCAAACCATACACATAATTTAAAATTTTCTAGGGGCGCCTGGGTGGCGCAGTCGGTTAAGCGTCCGACTTCAGCCAGGTCACGATCTCGCGGTCCGTGAGTTCGAGCCCCGCGTCAGGCTCTGGGCTGATGGCTTGGAGCCTGGAGCCTGTTTCCGATTCTGTGTCTCCCTCTCTCTCTGCCCCTCCCCTGTTCATGCTCTGTCTCTCTCTGTCCCAAAAATAAATTAAAAAAACGTTGAAAAAAAATTAAAAAAAAAATAAAATTTTCTAGTAGTCACATTTAAAAAGTAAAATGACACAGGTTAATTTTAATAATACACTTTATTTGACCCAACATACGCAAAATATTATCAATCTAACATGTTATCAATGTAAAAAATACTGAAATATTTTACCCTTTTTTTTTGGTACTACATCTTGTGTGTATTTTACATTACAACACATCTCAACTCCGACTAGCCACATTTCAAGGACTCAGTAAGCCCATGCGGCTAGTGGCCACCATATGGGGCAAGGCATCTACAGTCTATTTACTAATCTTAATGTTAAAAGCAGAACAGAGGCACTTGTCCCTTGGTTTCAAAGGACACGCAAAAAATAATTATGGCACAGTTCTTGAGCATACATTTCGTACCATGGCAGGGGCAAGTCTTACTATGTGTGTTGGGGATCTTCACACACCCTTGTATTTTGTCATCCTGTCAACAAGGCAAGTGCCTACCCTCCTCTTTTCAGGGAGAGAGGACTTCCCCGGGTCGAGACCTTCCCTACTGCCCGACCTCCGTCCCGCCATCCCGCTCCCGCCACCGGTCGGACGCCGGCCCCAGCGAAACCGTGGCTCGCTATCATCCTAGTCAGGGTCAAGTAAGGAGGCGTGCAAGCAGCGGTAGGTGCGGATCACCTGCGGGCCGAAGTGGATAAAGACCCCTCGGAGCTCCTCCTCCTCCTCCGGCTCGTCTTCCTCCCTCTCCTCCTCAGACTCCGACTCCTTTAACTGGTGCTGGGAGGAGCCATCGTGAAGAGAAGCCCAGCGCACGCCTAGCTGGGAACGCCGCCGCTCCCCCGTCACATCCACCTCCTGACTCCACTCGCTAACGCTAGGGGGCGCCGCTTCCGGGAGGTGGGACTCGGCTTCCGGGCTCTCTGGCGCCGAACTCATCATAGAAGCCAATGGAGACTTCCGCTTCCGGCAGCCTCGAGTCTTTTTGGGGAGTTGATGAGCTGGGCGCGCTGTCGGCCCTCCCCCGCCCGCCTGCCTGGAGGCCTTGTGGGATGGGCCTTGGCGCGCGAAACGTCTCCCTCCTCAGCCAGCGCCCGCGCAGACGCAGTGCTGAGCCCACGCCTGCGGAACAAAGGGTGAGGTCCGGAGCTAGGAGTCATGGCTGCGACGGAGCCGAGCTTGGCGGCTGCTGCGGGCCTCACGTCGCCGCCAGAGAAGGAGGAAGAAGGAGCCGGCCTGAGCTCAGGGCCGGAGCGTAACTTTGCGGCCTCCTCGTCGACCCCTAAGGCCCTACCGTCTGCCCCCGAACCCTCCAGTCCCAGCGCCGCGGTGTCTGAAGGGATTCCTACGCCTCCCGCGGCTGCCTCCGCGGCCCTGGAGCTGCCTCTGAGGCCCGCAGCCTTGGACTCCCCGCCGCTTGCCGAAGCCGCTCCGCGCTCCCCTCCGCAGCCTGGCGGCTCCCGACCCGGCCCCGAGACGTTCCGCCAGCGTTTCCGGCAGTTCCGCTACCAGGATGCCGCAGGCCCGCGGGAGGCGTTCCGGCAGCTGCGGGAGCTCTCGCGCCAATGGCTGCGACCCGACATTCGCACGAAGGAGCAGATCGTGGAGATGCTGGTGCAGGAGCAGCTGCTCGCCATCCTGCCCGAGGCGGCGCGGGCTCGGCGGCTTCGCCGCCGCTCCGATGTGCGCATCACGGGCTGAGCGGCGGAGCTTCGGGCGGCCGGGCTCGGGAGTTCTCTGGACTGGGGCCACTATCGAGTCCGGGGCTGAACCTGGCTCTCCATTACACGTTCCTGAGAAATGACTTTTGGGCAGCTCCAGTCGTCGGATATGTCCCTTTCGTTCGTCCTTTACTAGGTTTGTTTTCCCGAGCCTATTTACTTGCGACCTCCTTTTTGGCTGGTGGCGAGGCCAAGTTGGGAGCCCATGAGAATAAAGCCTTTGTTTTCTGTCCACTTGGCATTTGCTCGTTTTGTGGGATCATTAACGTGTTGGCTAGGCCTGGGCCTCCGCATCTGGAAAATTTTTCTCCTCGCCTCACAGGACCCCACTTGGGATTCCTTTGTTTAGTTGGGAGTCTACGGAAAGAGGGTTTTAACATTCTGGGTTCCGTATTCGCCCCGATGTCTCACTAGAATATGAAATTTGTTTTCCTACCTAAAAAGGTAGTGGAAAGTGGTTGTGGCAGGCAAATAGCAATTCGGCCATCAACCTGCCCTTGGGGCACGGGCTTCCCAAAAGACCCAAGCCAGAGGGCTATTTTAGTGTTTAATGCAGGTCCTTTTGGAGAGCTCCTTGCGAGCTTTGGTTTAAGTCTCCAAAGTGATTCTTGCCATATTTTAGGCCCCTAAGATTTAACAACTGGTGTGAACTAAAGAATTCTTTTATTGCCGGTTCTACTCATTTTAATGTCTCTCCCAACTGCCTCCCTTTATTATTTTTTTTAATGAGCAATTGCTTAGAGAAGAATTTGGCAACATTGTAATTCACAAGCTCTGTTGTGAAATCTTAAAGCCTCCTCTTCCTTAAGTCTTGTACCCACCCAGGAAGGAACTAATTGGGGTCTGTAGGCAGTTTGGATTGGCCTCAGAAAGATCCCAATTGCAATGGGTGCCATCTCTTAATATGAGGAAGGCCAGACCTATCTTCCCTTCACTGCTCTCAACAATTGTAATTTAATAAGTCTGCAGCTCACACCACAAAGCATGAGCCAGACTGGGTTAGAGGCTGGTGTAGGGGCATTTTACTTTTGAAATTATTAAAGACCCTTAGATGAATTCAAAATTCTTTTGCATACTTTCTTGGAATTTAGGATCTTAAGCTTGCATTTGCCTCCCTGCAGAAGATAAATCCGTTTACAGTGTAAAAGCAGATTTCCTTTAAAAAGTAAGGTTTATAGAAAATTATGTAATGCACATTAAAAGTAGGGTACAGAACTTTATAGTAACATGATTGAAACATAGCAACAAAAACCTGTTTTATTTTTTTCCAAATACAGATACAGAAGTTTGCATGTTTTGCAAATATTGCTTCAAAGCAACATTTCTATATACAGCGCCTTCTGTTCTAATAGCGCGTAAACATAGATATGTATCCACAGTGCAATGTTGGCTCATCAAGGGTCCACCTTGCATAACACCATTAAAGAAACAAAATGATTAGTCAAACCAGAACTGTTTTTGTCAAGGCAATTTTTTATAGGTGGATAGTTTTTCTCAAAAGAAAACTTAGGTAGTGTACATATTTCTAAACGGTAACAGTAATCTTTGCAAATAACAGTTTCCAGTGCTCCAACTTGGGGTTAATTCAACTTGACCCAGGAATTGGGGATGGAGCCCCTCAACATGGCTTTAAGTTAGAGAAGCACATTGAGGTTATCAGAACTTTGGGAGTAATCCCTGCTTTCCTAAGGACAAAAGTCATGATGAGTGAAATGGGATTATTTCCTTTACAAAATTTAAACAATAGACCCAGTAACAGCCACTTGGCAAAATTAGGGTAATTCAGTTTCTGCTTCCATTTTTGAGAAAGACATGAGATTGACTCCCTTAAAGTTGTAGCTTCTCCAGATGTGATGCTCAAATGTATTTTCAGAAAACAAAAATCAGTAATCTAATAATACAACAGTCATCATACCTCACAGTTGTGGCTACAGAAAATCATCCTGTTTCATCCCTTTTCAGACACACAATTCTATAATGTGGCTGTCTGATAAATTATGCAAAATATAGATGTCATGCACACTCCTTGAACATTTCTTCCCCCACCAGAAACGCCAATGTTAGCAATGGGAAAGAGCCTCTTGTAGAGGAATCACGTCAGCTTTACTACAGATGTCACAGCCACACGTATTCCCTCTGATGGATAAGCTACAGCAGGTCAACTGGTCCTAAATTCATTTTATATCAAATGGTGAAGAAATCACTGGACAGAGCATTCCCTGAAACAGATTTTGGTACAGAGGCCTTCAAGACCACAATGACCTATGTGCCTTAAAGGCCTAATCATTCCGAAGGTCGCTGGAGATACTGTCATTGCTATAGAGATAATGGCTACTTCACGTTTACATAGTAAATATTTGCAGCATATAACATTACAGATTCATAAACCCATAATTAACTTGTGAGTGTTAATGGACAACTGTGCTTTGATTTTTGCCTTTAGTGATAAGTAAACGGTGAAAGGGGTCATTTCCTCAAAGCATGGAACGTTTTCTTTAACTTTGTCTAGCAAGGAAAAACAAAACAATATAGCAATTACAGGTGGAACAGTAACCTGCAAAACTAACAAATATTGTCTCAAAAGGTACAAACTGTACCTGGACCTTAAGCAGCATAATCACCTTGACCTCACAAAAAAATATAAACAGGAAATCTAAAGTGTTAAAGTATATTAAAACAATTCTGAAAACGTCAACTACTGAACATATACCCTTCTGGGAAGGAGAAAAGCGGCACATGTAGAATCTGAAGTTTGTTTACAACAATATAAAATAAGGTAATTCCCCAAACCACATCCTTTGTAACAAATCTTTACAGTGAAAAGTGTTCAAAATTTTGGGAACCATTTTTTGGACATTAAATAGAACTGGGAAGCTGTCAATATTAAGAAGTGGGTAGAAAACACTGTCCTTCGGGTTCCAGACCCTGCCTGCTTCAGTTTGGAATTCCTCCTAGATTATTACAGCGAGATTCTAGTTCCTCCACAGGCTGTATGGGCTCTGCTACAAAAGACACAACCCAGCCAACTCTGGGGTAAAAGCATACAAAACTTGTCCCCGGTACCATGAAGTCATGCAAGACATGTGGTGAGAAAAGTGAAGAAGAGTCCTAAGGAGAAGGCAGGGCAGCCAAGGCCTCCGCTCCCTCCCAACCTCCACAGAATGTGAAGTCACGACATTCTCATGAAGCTGGAACAATGTAAATGATGCCTGCTGCCTAAATCCATGCCAGGTAGAAACCAGAAGGTTTGGCATGTGCCCCACCCTGACAAAAAAGTCAATTAAATAAGCTGCAAGTTGAATTTACAACTGTTTCCGACTAAACTTTTTTGGCTCTCATTCCATTTATCAGTGGCACGATTTCAAGTGAAGTTTGTGCAAAAAGACTCACTCACTCTCCATTCAACGATGTGCACAGAAGGGAATCCCAAGAGTCTATTTGCCACCTTCTTGGTAGGCTTCAAGATCAGAGTGCCCTGCCCTCCAGCAGCCAAAATGGCCCCTTTGTCCAATGTCCATCACACCCCTGCCCAGATCCCTGAAGTCAGTCGGTGTCACGTGCATTCGGCATGCTAGGTTTATTTATTTAAATATGCAAAGCTCCTCCTGCAGGTGCCCCAGGACTGTGCCCCCACTAGTTCTGGGTGCCCAGTTTCATGTTGAGCAGCAGAGTGCGATCTGCTGCACCTTGCCCAGGTCCATCAGCAGCTGCTTGATGCAATGTTTGAGCTGTGGAAGCCTGGCCAGCGGCTCTGGGGGCTCCAATTCCCCAGTGTAGTCCAGCCAGCTCTCCAACACTGTAGGCAGAAGAGAGAGAAGACCCAGTGAGTTCCCAACACTTCATCTGTAAGAACATCAGCAAGAATCTCAGCACCCTCTCCCATCTACTACTCACAGGGGGCAAGGAGGGAGGACCACTCAGGTGACACTGACTCTACACCCTCTCTACAAAGTATTACCCCTAGGACAAGGTTCAAATGCTTCAGAGCAGCACAGTCTAATAGAACTTTCTGCAGTGGAAATGGTTGATGTCTGTGTTGTCTATACAGTAACCACTAGCCACATGTAGCTAACTGAGCACTTAAAACCTGGCTGGTACAACTGTGTAACTAAATTCAAATTTTATTCAATTTTAATTAATTCAATAGCCACATATAACTAGTGACTACCGTATTAGTGTAGCTCTGGAGTCTAGAAGGCTTTAAAGAACCCACCTTTCTCAGTGTTACTCCCCATTATTTATAAGGCTTTCCCTCATTGGACATCAGAGATCCTAATGTTTTAGCCTCCTGTTAAGAAAAATAAGAATCTAGGGGACGTCTGGGTGGCTCAGTTAAGCATTCTACTCGGTTTTGGCTCAGGTCACGATCTTGAGGTTTGGGAGATCAAGCCCCACGTCAGGTTCTGTGCTAAACAACATGGAGCCTCCTTGGGATCCTCTCTCCCTCTCTCTCTGTCCTTCCTCTGCTTGTGTGTACTAGCACATGTGCTCTCTCTCTAAATACATAAACTTTAAAAGAAAATTTAAAGAAAAAAGAAAAATGAAGATCTAAAGGGATTTGAAAAGGTCTATTTTTATCACTGTAAGCTCTGATTTGCTTCATATTCTTATCATCAGTAGCACAGAATACTCTGATTTTATTTTCTAAGTATTTAATGTAATACGTCCAATTACTAATGATCTTGATTGTATTGGTTCAATACCTAAAAAGCTGCCTTGCCTCTGAGAGCAGGGATTTCTCTATAGAAGACGTTTATTCTTCCCCAAGCCATTCCCTGAAGCTCAGGCATTTGGGGGAGAGACCACATTGGAACCATACATCTTTGACATGAAGCCAGCCCCTCCAAGGAGGCCCTGTGCTCACCCTAGCTTGCCTGGAGCCTTTCTAGTTCATAAATCAACTTGTACTGAGCATTTTCTGGACCCTTGAGCCAAAGGTACAGAAAGAGCAAGATGCACCCAGTGCCTGTTCCTCATGTAGCTTACAGTCTCACACATAATCCTTGTCCATCCTCAGATTTGGCCCTCCTTCTTTCTTCGCACCTTTCAAAATTCTTTGTTCCCTATAAGTTACTTCTCAAAGAAATCTTCCCCAACTCTACCCCCTGAATCTGGTCGCTGGGTTAAGAACGCTGTGCGATCACATGTTCTCCTCCTCTGGAGTACTTACCATGGTTTATAATTATATGTAATGGGATAATTTAATTAATACCTAGCTCTACCACAAGATCAAGCTCCATGAGGGCAGAGGCCAAGTCTGCCTTGCTCACCACGATATCTCTAACACTCAATTATGCCTGAAACATAGTAGGCACTCAACAAAGGCAGTGGGAACGGCCTAGCAAAGCGCCCCACTGACTGCTCGGGCTTCACAGAGCTCACCTACCACCCTCTGCTTTCTTGTTGGTATTTGGGGATTCCAAGAAGGAGAAACGGTCCCTCCCCTTCATCCCAACAAGTACAAGGACTTGAAAATAAGAAAAATAAGACTGCCTTCTCAGACATGAACTTGAAAGCCAAGAGTAAAGGATCAAAGTCATGTGAGAGTACTAGTGACCTGCTGAGCAAGAAAAACTCCATGGTGACCAATTTCAATACATCAGTAAGTCTTTAAGGAAAAAAACTAGAAGGGGGCACCTGGATGGCTCAATCAGTTGAGTGTCCAACTTCAGCTCAGATCATGAATCTTATGGTTTGTGGGTTTAAAACCCACACTGGGCTTATTTGCTGTCAGCATCTGAGCCTGCTTCGGATCCTCTGTTCCCCCTGCACCTCCCTTGCTTGTGTTCTCTCTCTGCATCCCTCAAACATAAACAACAACAACAACAAACAAACAAAAAAAAAAACTAGGAGACAGGGGACTGCTTAGCAAAAGGGCATGAGAATAAACAGAATAAATGGAGAAAAAGGCCAAAAGTCAATGCCGGAAGAGCCCATCTAGATGAGTGTAGAAAAAAGGCAGTCAGGATTCGCTGCATCAATTCCGACAGAATGTCAGTCAGTCCATCTTTCCTTGACAAGATGATCCTACAACTGCTGAGAGACCCCTCTTATGGTCTTGTAACTACTTCAGATTTGGTACCAGGTTCACCAAAGACATACCCCAACACTATGGTGACCTGGGAGGCATGCACAGGGAGAAAGAACACCAGACTAGAAGACTCTAGGCTACTCAGTATTCTCTGAGCTTGGTGAAGAGGAGGGTTTAGAGACCCTAAGGTGGAAGCCTTCTCTCTAGATCTGCAGGACTGAAGACCAGACCCAGAACTGTATGTATTAGTAGCCACTAGTATCTTCTCTGGAGCCCAACATCCAGCAGGCCAGTCTTCTTTCTGTACTGTGTTCTGGACCATCACCCCATTTCTCTTTTAAGGAAGCTCAATAGCTTCTCAGCAATGTAATGATTCTAAGCAATGCAGGAGGTCACACAGGTAAAGTTTCATTTCAAATACACTCTCTCAGACCATCCAGATAGAGGCCAATGCTCCTTAAGGTAACATTTTTTTCTTAAAATAGTATTGCTCATGCTGGGGTGCCTGGGTGGCTTGGTCGGTTGAGCGTCCGACTCTGGCTCAGGTCATGATCTCGTGGTTTGTGGGTTCGTGCCCTGCATCAGGCTCCGTGCTGACAGCTTGGAGCCTGGAGCCTGCTTTGGATTCTGGGTCTCCCTCTCTCTCTGCCCCTCCCCCACTCATGTTCTGTCTCTCTCTCAGAAATAAACAAACATTAAAAAAAATTTAAAAAAAAGTATTGCTCATCCTAAAAGATTCAATATTTTCATGATCATTAAAAATCTTTTGTTTACAACTGTTTACACTACTAAATTATTAAGCTATGGTTAATACTAAAACAATAACTTTTTTTTTTTAAATGTTTTTATTTATTTTTGAGACAGAGAGAGACAGAGCATGAGCAGGGGAGGGGCAGAGAGACAGCAAAACACAGAATCTGAAGCAGCCTCCAGGCTCTGAGGTGTCAGCACAGAGCCCGGACGCGGGGCTCAAACTCACGGACTGTGAGATCATGACCTGAGCTGAAGTCGGACGTTTAACTGACTGAGCCACCCAGGAGCCACAATAACTTTTAAGTATAAATTAGTCAATATAATAGCTTACGAGGCTACTTCTTAAAAGGAATACTGTATCCAAATTCTTATAAAAGCTCAGTTTATCTTAATGGTATTTGGATGAAGAGTTGTCTCTACTGTAGCTGAAATAAAATAGGATTCTGATAAAAATACAATAGAAAAGTCTGTCTGAATAAAGTCTTTAAGAATTATAATTGATTTTCACACTTCAGAGCCTGGAGTTTCAGAACAAGAACAGAGTATGTGACCCCAGATCAGCAGGACACACAAGAGGCCCTCAAGCAGGTCAGAGAAGGGAGTCCAGGCTTATCCTTCTCACCACAGTGGCCATGAGACTGGGTGGGAACAGCAAGTCAGTGAGTAAGAAGTGGGTAAACTCTGGGACACCTGGGTAGCTCCATCAGTTGAGCGTCCGACTTTGGATCAGGTCATCTTGCTACTCACGGGTTGGAGCCCCACATCAGGCTCTGTGTTGACAGCTCAGAGCCTGGAGCTTGCTTTGGATTCTGTGTCTTCCTCTCTCTCTCCCCATCCCTGATCATACTCTCTCTCAAAAATAAACAAATCTTAAAAAAATTTTTTTAAAAAGAAAAAAAAAAAGAAGTGGGTAAACTCTGATGTCTGCTCTAAGGCCAGGCTCCTCTGGCAACAGAATATTCTCCCTGTTTCCACAGTGCTAATCCAGGGACCCAGAACCACTCCTACTGCCATTCTCTCAAAACCCATAATTTCTAGTCTGGCATTTAATCCTCTTTTAACTAGCAAATAGCAAGGTTTTCAGACAGTGGCATCAGTTACAATTCTAAGGAACCCAAGAAAACCTTTTAGGAGTAAAAGAGACAGAAACACTCCCCCTTCAGAAATGCCCTCAGAAGGGACCCTGAATTAGTCTCCCATTCCTAGTTCCTCAGGAGTGCCTCAGAGGCAGGAAAGAAGCATAAAGGCATAGAGTTCTCACTTTCCTCCAACAGGGTAACCCTTTCCCAGTCAAGCCAGTCCTTTCATTACCCACCGAGTCACCCCCTCTCTAGCAGAAAACCTCACTCTCTTCAAGGCTCCACTTCACACCCAAGACTTCCAGAAAGCATTCCTGTTTCCCCTCACACACTTCTTTGGCAGGGCCTCAGCCATACACGTGCCCTGACCTATGGGCCCTCATGACTCTAGCTCGCATAACATATGGTATTTTTCTGAGTTATTTCATGAAAGTAGTTTTATGTCCCCAATATAGTAACAGTAGACAATATATTCAGAATCCTCAAACGGAATATTTATTTATTTTTAAAATTTTTTTAACATTTATTTATTTTTGAGACAGAGAGAGACAGAGCATGAACAGGGGAGGGTCAGAGAGAGGGAGACACAGAATCCGAAACAGGCTCCAGGCTCCGAGCTGTCAGCACAGAGCCTGACGCGGGGCTCGAACTCACGGACCGCGAGATCATGACCTGAGCCGAAGTCGGCCGCCTAACCGACTGAGCCACCCAGGCGCCCCGGGAATATTTATTTTTAAATTTGGCTCCATTTTAAGATTGAAACAAAAAAATTAAAAAATAAGTGAACTATCAAGAAGGAATTCTATCTTCAAAAACCAAGCTGGTGACATTCTAGGGATCAAAAGTCTGAACTTGATCAAGTTTATCATGACAAGGCCCATCTGTTACCACTAACACCTGGGAGAAATACCCAGAGGCTACCCAAATGACTGAGTCAAGTTCTTAAATCTCTACTGATAAAGAAGAAAGGCCTCATTTTAGATTTTTATGAAAGGCTGAAATAAAAGGTTTCTTCAGATTAATCCTCAAAGACATCCAAAACCTCTACTAAGTCAAAGTTGAAATTCCTCACAGAACTTGGTTGGCAAAGGTTTGCTCAGATCGCACACAGCCTGCAGAGAGTCCAGGCACTCTTTCGCACTCTGCTTTGCAGAAGGCACTGGGTAAGTGAAGGAGGCCTCCTGATATCACACAGACCTTAGCAGTGCTTGGTAAATACTAAAAGTAAAGCTTGCCCATCTTGAGAGAAGGATGGGGGTGGATGAGACTGAAAAGAAAGGAGGCAAGAATACAGCTGTCTGTGGAGAGCCAGAGAAGGAGTCCTACCATCCAGCTCCTTCTCGATGGAGTCCATCCTATGTGTGACTTCATCCTGAAGAGATTCCACATGGGTCAGCAAGTTAAACTGCCACTGGTGCTGGGAGCTCAGCAGCCCCTCTCCTCCTCTGTCCAACAGCTTCCGAGCCGGGGCTTCCTCAGGTAGGACCTTTTTGGAGACATATTCCCTCACCTAGGAATGCAATGGCATTTAAGTTACTGAGTGGAGACAGTTCCCAGTCCCTTCTCAAACAGCCAGTGTTTGCAACCATCTGAAAAACCAGTTACAGCTTGAATATTCCAAATCTCTATCTCCTTCTCCTCCTGTCTTGCACACCAGGCAGAAGCATGTACCAATCGCAAACACCACAAGGCAGCACGGGCCTCAAGGCCTCATAGCTGCTTCCCAGTGACTGGCCCAATGCCCCAGTCTGAAATAGGCCTCATGGAATGGCTCTAGAGCCCTGAGGTTAGAGTAGAGCAGGGTGGGTGCAGACAGGGGTTAGTATGTTAGTTGGCAGGAATCAAAGCAGTGTTAAGTCCTCGTTCCATGTCCTGCTGAATGTGTGAGCCTGGATTAGTTCTTCTGCCTCTCTGAGACTCTGTTACCTTACAGGAAAGATGGAAGTAGTAAAACCTATTTTAAAGGTTCATGAGAATGAAACAGGATAAGGTTTATAAAACACAGTGCTGGCTTAAGGTCAGCTTGCCATCAACGAAAGAGATTTTTAATCATAGTTGTCTTGCTTAGGCCCAGTATTTTCTCATTTTTTTATTATGGGGCAGCTATCTCTAGGAAATCTGCCTAGTCTTCAGGATCACACTTTCTCTGGGGTTTGTGATCTCAACCATTCATTCATTCATTCATTCATACATTCATTCATTTGAAATGAAATACAGCCTAGCTAATATTTATTTAGAGCTGACTATGCAAAGCTTTGTGCTGAGAGCTTTTCACAGATACACTGCACAATAATGGAGAGGACACAGTCACTGGCCTCTCCCACAGGAGACATATCCAAGGAGGTAAAGTGACCTGCTCATGTATCACACAGTACATGTCTAAGCTCAGACTTGAAACTGGGTCTCACGAGCCTTGCCCAGCACTGTTTAGACACTGGCAAGGGCACAGGCTGAATGAGGTACAATGCCCACCTTTGAGGGGCTTATAATCTAGGATGCCCCACCTGGCAGTATGTACTAACACATCTAAAGCTGGTGACGCCAACCACAGGGTAAAGTCTGAAAGGAAGGATAACAAGGATGGAGAAACTCTCCAATTACACAAAGCCCTACTGACCAACTGAGGACAGGACAGAATAACACCAGTGAATAGTTAAAGATGATAACATGAGCAGGACAACACAAAAGGCTCTAGAAGAGCATGACTTAAATAACAAAAAATTGAGAGGTATTCTTGGGAAAGGTGATGAAAGCAGCAAATATTCTGACGAAATGGACTCTTCTTATGTCAAGGCTACAAAGTTAAATGTCAAAGTAAAGCTATCACAAAATTGTACTGAAAACCTTATTCTTAACAAAACACTTGGCTCATCCTTTGCTCATGCTAAGAATCAGCAGCAAGTTGGAATTACAATGTAAACCCTGTTAAGGAAAAAACTCATTTTCCTAACTTACTTCCATTTATCAAGTGCCAGTCAACCCTTTTCTCCTTGCTTCTTCCCACCTCCACCCCCAAACCCTAATGATTATGTGGTTTTGTGGACATTTCCTGCAATCAATGATCTCTGGTTTACCTGGTCTCTCCTGCCTTTGCACCCATTTTTACAGACCAAAAACATACCTACGATAAGCACATTTAAATACAATCTTAGACTAAAAACAATTTTACAACAAACTTCTCCCAAAGAACCCTAAGGAGGGGAACTCAAGCATTCATACACTAAATTAAGAACAAATAATACATGTGGGGGCACCTGGGTGGCTCATTCGGTTAAATGTCCAACTTCGGCTCAGATCACGATCTCATGGCTTGTGAGTTTGAGCCCCGCGTCGGGCTCTGTGCTGACAGCTTGGAGCCTGGAGCCTGCTTCAGATTCTGTGTCTCCCTCTCTCTCTGTCCCTAATCCATTCACATTCTGTCTCTGTCTCTCTCAAAAATAAATAAACATTAAAAAAAAAAAAAAAAAGAACAAATACATGTGAACCACATACCTTTAGGGAGCTAGATTTGGAGTCACTGTCCCCCCTACTCCTGTCTTGGTCTAGAGGCCAGCCCAGACGCGGAGAAAGAGAATCATCACCGTTCTCACGGAGGGGGTTGACTGCATCGTCGAGGGCAGAGCCCCGTGTTTCCACCACCAGCTTCTGCTCCACAGCAGGGTAATAGGCGCGGGGCTTCTGATAGCAGTGCTCGCTGGTGATATAGGACTCCTCCACAGACCGGGGTAGGGGCAGGGGCAAGGGCTTCTCCACTGCCCCATTCAAAGTTCTATAGCTTGGGACTTCCTCCTTGCTCCTGGCTTCAGTAACGTGGATGTGTTTGGAATGAGGTCTCCCCTCCCCTGAGTGCTGTTTCCAAGGCTGACACCACAGCTGCAGATCAGGATGCTGTCTGCTTCTGTTGGGAGGGAAACATAGAAAGGGCTCTAGAGTACCTGGGACCACTACAGGGGTTTCTCCCAATAGGAAGAGGAGTTCCCACTTGGGCCATTTGGCCACAAGCCACCATTTGCCAAGCAAAAAGGAACATAAATCCATGGTCTCTGAGGAGACCACTTGCAGGCAAGCTCCCACTGTGGACTCACTCACAGTGAGTAAGACTGGACTTGGAGTCAGAAGACCTGACTAGATTTCAGTTCAACCACTGATTAGCAGTGCAGCTGGGATGAGTCACTCAGCCAGACTCATTCCCATTCCTTCCTCTGCAGAACTAGACTAACCCTCTATCTGCCATTAGCCACTGAATTTGACACAGATTAAGTGAATTAATTCAAATAAAAGTACTCTGTTGGCAGCAAAGTACTCTTCAAATGTAAGTTACTAAAAATAACCTTAACTTATTAATAAGTAGGCATGATAACCCTGGTGTGCAATAGCACTCGGTTACAAAAATACACTGATGACGGGGCAAGGGGGTAGGAATCAAAGTCATCTACATAAAAGCTGTTAATAATTTTTTTTTAATTTTTCTAAAATCTTTTATTCTCACCATCCCAAGGAGCAAACCTTATTGTTAAAGAACAGAGATTCTGGGGTGCCTGGGTGGCTCAGTCGGTTAAGCGTCCAACTTCAGCTCAGGTCACGATCTTGCGGTTTATGGGTTCAAGCCCTACATCAGGCTCTGTACTGACAGCTCAGAGCCTGGAGGCTGCTTCGGGTTCTGTGTCTCCCTCTCTCTCTAACCCCTCCCCCACTTGCACTCTGTCTCTCTCTCTCTCAAAAATAAGTAAATGTTTTAAAAAAATAAGAAAGAAAGAACAAACGAACAGGGGATTCTGATCCTTTTTTGAACCACAAGTCCCTTTGAGAATCTGTTTGAAAGCCCTACCTACATGTATGTGCACCTAAAACTGTGTTATCACTTTAGTCTTCCAGAATCATTCACTGTTTTAGTTTTGAACCAATAGAGGGTCATTAAATTAATCTATTGGATCATAATCAGTTGTAGCGCTTCACGAATTTATGCATTATCCTTGTGTAGGGGCCAGACTAATCTTCTCCATATGGTTCCAATTTTAGTCTACGTACTGCCGAAGCGAGCATCATAATCAATCGTAGAAAAAAGAAAAACAGAATATAAAATATTAGAGTGTACCATTCTAAGAAAGAGTAGCTGTCCTGTGAAATTTTAGTTTCAATTCTATACATGTGAGTAATTTAAAATGTATTTCTTACTGCGGGATACACATTTTAAGTTTAAAAGCCACTACCCTAGATAAACTTCACCTTTTACCTCTTCTTTACTACCCAAAACTTCTATTATTACCTTTGATCATTAAATGAAAAGAAGGAAAAAAGGAAGGAAGGGAGGGAGGGAGAGAAGGAAAACACAACAGTGGATTTCTTGAATAAGACCCATCAGTTCCCAGAGTTCCTGGCTGGGAAGGCAGTGCCCTCTAGGGAGCGTTTGGAAACAAAGACACAGACAGGTGCTACCTACTCCTATTTGGTTCAGAGATGGACAGATATGTGAAGTGACCTTTCTAATTGCCACAATGACTGACAGGTACTACTGACATTTAGTTCATTGAATCCGAGAATGCCTGACATTCTATAATGCTTCGAACAATCCTACATGATTGGGATAAAGAAGAATCATCCCACGATATAGTCAACAGTGTCTTCCCAGCCCCCAACTGAAAAACACTGAAACCAGATCAGCAGAAAATCACAAACTTAACTCATCAGCAACTCCATATATGGGTACCCCTCCACACCTACTTGACTGAAGCCTTCCTGCACAAATGGAATAGACCAGAGTGATCTTACAGAACCTAACATTCTGTTCCCAAGGAGCTACAACTAACCTCTCTCACTTCTCCCACTCCAGCAATCACCAACACCCCTTCTATCCACTGGGGAAGGAGAGGAAATGAGGAGAGTATCAAGGCAGCCTAGGTCCCTGGATCGCCCCCAAGGGGGTATCACAGCCTGTACCAGGAATCCAAGACACCAGACACACCTCTGAAATCCTAACTGCATCAGGAAAAATGAGGATCACTGTTAACTTTCAAGTGTACTTAGTCTGAAATCTGTTAACTGGAGCATATAAGCCACAATATAGACCTTCTCTTGCATGAAAATCACAAGTCTTTGCTTCCTCCTCCCTAGAATTTTTGCCCTCCCAGGTAAGACCTAAAACCCCAGCTACTACTCCACACAAAGATAACCCTGGCCTTTCTTTGTGCACCCTGTCAATCATGAAGATGGTACGTATAGCCACGTGTCACTTTTTAAATGACAACAAATGCTCTGAAGTTACTGAGTTTTGCATTTGAAAATAATAAACCTGCCAAGCCACTTAGGAACAGTATTTCTGAGAATGAAGACCTAGAGCTTGTGACAACAGAGACTATCCATGTGTACACATACTGGGATCACCTCCCTCCCCGCCCCCAGGATCTTTTCTCCACATATAATGATGAACAAGATCACCCTATACCCTCTTCTGAATTGCTAGGAGAAGTCAGATTTAATTCCAGTACAAAGTCACTGCTATAAAGATGAAGGATCTAGGGGGCGCCTGGCTGGTTCAGTCAGTGGAACATGCGACTCCTTATCTCAGGGGTGAGTTCAAACCCCATGTTGTGTATAGAGATTACTTAAATTTTTTTTTAAAAAGATGATTCAGGGATCAGAGATTCGGAAGGGAGAAAGTTCCGGGATATGGGTTAGGGTAAGGAGCAATGGCATTTAGTAAGAAGAAAGAGAACACCATCTGATTGAAACCTCAAATGAAAAGAAATATGACAAAGTTTATAATCATGAACATAACCTGAGGCTTTCCAGGACCGCACATGGACCACCTTCTACCTGCCTCGATTTCTGGCATCTCATTAAGAAGAAATTAATTTGGTATACATGGGGTAAAGCTTTCTGGTTTTATAAAATGTGAGGGAAAAGCTTGTCGCTGACATCTTAATCCAGGGCTGTCACTTGATTCAGTTCACCTCAACAGATACTATCACAGTGACAGCTAACTTCCCCCAGCAACTACCTCCCCATTCTCTTAACCCCACCTCCATCCTCACTCCAGGGTTCAAACAGAGCACATAGCTAGCCTTCCCCGCAGTTAGGTGCGTCCATGAAAACTGCCTGCTCTCTCCTGTCTTTCTTTTCCCCTGGGGGCTGAACAGTTGAGGTACAGGTGAGGCTGTTTCAAACATGCAGATGAGAAGAACCCCAATGGAATGCCAGAGCAATAAGACAGAAGGAACCCAAGTCCCCAGGCCCACAGATGGAATCCTGGAAAAAGGCCATCTACCTGATCTGGAACCTTGCCTACTCTTGGACCGTTCATTATGGAAAAAGAAGATTCCATTTTGTTTTAGCCTCTATTTGGGGGATTCCTGTTATAGAACCTTTGCTTTTACCCAAATCAATATATATCAGGTCTGAATGTGCCCTTGCTCACCCGCTCATCTGTCATTCCAGTTCTTGAAGCTAGGCCTCTGTGCACCAGAATCACCAGAATACAAGAGAAAGTTCTACCATCCCAGGGCTCTGACACTCTGCCTGATGCTGAGGGCCTCTAGGACTAATCTGCACAAAGGAAACCTTGTTGGGGAGTGGCCTGTCATGTCTAACTCATGGCACTAGCTTGTCATTGTTGATGGTCCCCTGTGGAAAGGCTCATGGGAGAACCTGAGAAAGTTCTTGACAAGAGAATCAATCCCTTACACAGACTGTGCTGATACTGGAAGAAAATGCATGAAACCACTGAGAGACAGTTAGAAAGGTTAGGACAAGTACTTGACAGGAGCTAGGCCTGGAGTTCTAGACGGGACTCTACCCCTGGAAGTCATGGGAGAGCAGCTGTGCCATGCAAGGCCCCAGATGACCTATTTGGTAAAGTGGGGGTAAGTTATAAAAGCCAACAGACCGAGTAAGAGTGATATGTCTTTCTCAGAGCTTACATGAACTTGGGTCATCTAACACATAGAGTGCAACCACAGAAGGGAATTCACACTTAGTTTAGCTCCTCAAAAGCCAGAAGCATAGTACCAGAACACCTAAAACTTCTTTGCATGAGCAAACCATGAAGAGAAAATACTTACTGAGCAACCACTATGCTGGAGAGCAGGCCTGCCAACATGGTCTTTTCCAGCAGCTTTCAATTTTACTTTGTTTACCAGTCAAGGGTGTTTAGGATGACTGGATAAACAAAATGCAGTATTACATACAATAGAGTATCATTCAGCCTTTAAAAAGGAAGGAAATTCTGATACAGGCTGTAATACAGATGAACTTTTCTTTTTTAAATTTTTTTTAATGTTTATTTATTTTTGACAGAGAGAAAGAGAAAGACAGAGTGCGAGTGGGGGAGGGCAGAGAGAGGGAGACACAGAATCTGAAGGAGGCTCCAGGCTCTGAGCTGTCAGCACAGAACCCAATGAGGGGCTCGAACTCACAAACCGCGAGATCATGACCTGAGCTAAAGTCGGACACCTAACTGAGCCACCCAGGCACCCCCAGATGAACTTTTGAAGACACTGTGCAAAGTGAAATGAGCTACTCACAAAGGACAAATACTATAGGATCCTATTTATATGAAGTACCTAGTCATATTCAGAGACACACAAAGTAGAATGACAGTCATCAGGGGCTGGGAGGAGGGAAAATGGTAAGAAGTTGTTTAACAGATACAAAGTTTCATTTTTGCAAAATGAAGAGTTATGGAGATTGGTTTCAACAGGTGAATGTACTTAACACTACTGAACGGTATATTAAAAAGTTAAGATGGTAAATTTTATATTATGTATATTTTACCACAATAAAAAAAATTCAGGGGGCGCCTGGTGGCTCAGTCGGTTGAGTGTTCAACTTCAGCTCAGGTCATGATCTCACAGTTCATGAGTTCAAGCCCCACATCAGGCTCTGTGCTGACAGCTCGGAGCCGGAGCCTGCTTCAGATTCTGTGTCTCCCTCTCTCTCTGCCCCTCTCCTGCTCATGCTCTCTCTCTCTCTCAAAAACAAACATTAAAAAAAAAAACTAAAAAAGAAAATTCAGAACTGTATAGCAAAATAGTAAACAAACTAAACTATATATACATACACCATATTTTGATAATGGTGGTGGTTACAAGGGTCTATACATTTGTCAAAACTCAATGAACCCTTGGGGTGCCTGAGTGGCTCAATCGGTTACTTCGGCTCAGGTCACAATCTCATGGTTCATGAGTTCAAGTCTGACTTGGGCTCTCTGCTGTCAGCACATAGCCCACTTTGGATCCTCTGTCCCCCTCTCTCCCTGCTCCTGCCCCACAGGCATGCAGGCACACACACACTCTCTCTCTCAAAAATGAATAAACATTAAAAAAAAAAACCTAGGGCTGCCTGGGTGGCTCAGTTAAGCATCCAACTTCAGCTCAGGTCATGATCCCACAGTTTGTGGGTTTGAGCCCTGTGTCCGGCTCTGTGCTGACGGTTCAGAGCCTGGAGCCTGCTTCAGATTCTGTGTCTCCCTCTCTCTCTGCCGCTCCCCTGTTCCCACTCTGTCTCTTTCTCTCAAAAATAAACAAACATCAAAACATAATTAAAAAAAGAACCCTAAATGAACCTTTAAGATTAGCAAACTTAATTATATGTAAATTATACCTGTATATGGTTGATTTTTTTTTCAAAAAAATGTTTATCGTGTAACTGAGAATTTTTAGTAAAGGTCTCAAACTCATTTGTCTTATCACTGATTTTGTGTCTTTCCAATTTTTCAAATTTATCCTGCCCTCCCCCGCCACGATGTCAGATGTGACTCCTCCCCAAAGCTGCAGGTGCCGCACTTACTGTAAGATGCTCATCTTGAGCTGCAGGCCATGCAGAACCTCGATCACTCTCTGCACATCTCCAAGAAGCTGGTGGGTGGCCACAATCTTCTTGGCATTCTGGTGGGAGTAGTTCTCTTCTAAGAATGCCAGGCCATGCATATGTCCCCTGCTCAACCACTCCTTGTCATACCAGTACTTGAAGCCAGGCCTCTGACCTAAAGCAGTGACAATAAGAGAGTTAATACATGGCCTGATGGAAACCACTGCATCATTGTACAATCATCACATAAATTATTGGAAGGATGGATTGGTGTGTTCATTTTATTCATTCATCCAATATACATTTACTTGGCACCAATATACATTTACTACATGCCAGGCTCCCTAATAGGGGTTGGGGATAAAGCAGTAAGATGTAAATTTCCTGAACTCCTAGAACTGGCCAGAGGTGGAGTGGGAACCTGGGTACCTCTTTAAATTTAAATCACATCATTACCTCTCCTATTTAAAACCTTCAATGACTTCCTACTACATACAAAAGAAAAGCCAAAGCCCTAACACTGGCCTAATGAGGCCAACAGCACCCAGCTCCTTCCTGCCCTCCTTGCCTTACCCTTACAGTGGCCTCCTTTCAGTTTCTGGAACATATCCCACTTTTCAGTCTTAGGATCTCTATCCTAACATCCTCTCTGTCTGGAGTACCATTCCCCAAGCCACAGAACTGGCATCTTTCCACCTCCTCAGAGAGGCCTTTTGTTATCTTCCAAAGTAAGAAAGCCTCTTCAAAAGCCTCCTACTCATTCCCTATCTGGTTGCTTCCTTCTCCCCGCCCCCCGCCCCCCCCACCCCAAAGCATTCATCCCTATCTAACATCTTCTTGCTTATTTTACTTATTCTGACATCTGTTTCTGGCGCCAACTCCACTAAGAGCAAGAATAATAGGAAGCACCTTATTTATAGTTGTAACCCCAGCATTTAGCAAAATACATCTGAAATGGATTTATCAAATGAAAACAAGGTTCAAATCCTCCTTCCAACTGTCACATACCACCTTACTAAATAGTCAGGCACTCTCCCTTCTCTGAACCTCCATTTCCCATCTGTTAAAGTGACATATGAATTGGATGGTTTCAGTGAGCTTATTCATTACAGGGATCCTTAGGAAGAACTGAAAACACAACCATACATGACTTGGTGGTGTTTCCTGCTCCAAAAGCCTAGAGAACAGATTTCAACCAGACAGGCATTTTTACCTCCCACTATCTATAAAAACCGTTAAATAACCCATGTAATATCTATCAAGGTCCTTGGGCTCTTTCTGGCTTTACTAAAACACATGGTAGGGATGCACCTCGATTCTGTTAAAAACATCTATAAGTAACCTTTAAAGAATAAGTGTTAGGTTAAACTCCTGGCCCAAGACACTGCAGAGTCAAACACTGCAGAGTCAAACACTGCCTTTAAATGCAAAAGACAGCACTCAATTCAAGGAGGAGTCTATTTGCAGTGTTGGCAATTAGAGTTGTAAAAGTTCAAAGGAGTGCAGAGGAGTTGATGAAGATGGTGTGTATGATTTGTAAAAAGGGGGAAACGGAGGGAAGGAGTGAGAGAAAATAAAGTAAACAGATATGTAAACAGTGCCAAGGAGCCCCAGGGATTATGTGTGGCCTCTCAGAGGCAGCTGCTGCAGGAGGGGCCTGAGCAGCAGGATTCAGAGCAGTAACACCTGTTTTACAAGACAAAGGTCAAGGCAGTGGTTCTCCTCTCCTATCTAGCATTATCTGGCTGACTGACCTTGGCCCCTTCATGTTCCTTCTGGGCCTATATTTGCTCACCTATCAAATATCAGGGCTAAACTGAGTGGTCTCTGAGATCCTGCCCATGGATAGTATTCTATGATTCACAGACTAATCTTCTGACCATATTCTTTCCTCGGGAAAAAGCAGCAAGTGGGCAGATTCCTCTCCATCTATAGACTCATCCAGCACAAGGAGATACAGTACCATGACTGAGGTCATCAGGTCCCAAAGGGACACACTTGCTAGAAAACAAACTATGGTGACTAGACCCTCCCTACACAACCAACAAAATCAAGATTTGGCCCCACAAGCCAGTTTTAATTCCAATTTTCTTTATGAGATTGGGAAAGTCATTCATGTCCCTAGGCACCAATTTCTTCCTCATAAGTAAAAACAGGAATAGGAGCTCCTACCAGACCCACCTCATAGGACTCAAAGAATCAACAGAAGTAGAGGCTCTTGAACACTGTCTAGCCTTGTAAGGGGATCATGGGACTGGAGCCAAGGGGAGAAACTTTACCAGTGGTGAAGGGAGAAGATGTAACCACTCCACTGACAGCAAGACAAGAACCACAGATTTAAGACTTCTGGAAAGGGGCACCTAAGAGCCACAGGCCAGCCATGAGGCCATGAACAATGAAACTCAACTGATTCTGCTAAGGAATTAATTCACTGCTTTGGGTAGCAGTCAAGCTCTACCAACTATATATATATATACCTTTCCCCTTCCCCTCAAGGGCAGATCTCTCTTCCAGGTGATGCAATGGAGGGCAGGTGCCACCAGAGGGAGCAGAGGCATATTCCTAACCTCCAACAGCCCCAAAAAGCCAAAGACAGAGCCCACCTCTTCATGAACCCTCAATAAAAGGAAAAGGTGCTTGCTCCAGCAGCACATATTCTAAAACTGGCACAATACAGACAAGACTGGCATGGCCCCTAAGCAAGGATGACACGCATATCTGTAAGGCATTACACAATTTTTAGAGTTTCAGTCACGCAAGATGAAAAAGTTCTAGAGACCTGCTGTACAATGCTGTGTTTACAGTTTATAAACAATAGTGTATTGTATACTTAAAAATTTGTTAAGAGGATAGATCTTATACCATTTTCATAACAATAAAAAAATAATTCTAGCTCCAGGCCAGGCCTTCCACAGGCTTCACACATACTCTCTCACTGCTAAGTTCAGGACAGCAGGCCAAGTGAGCTAGCAGCAGGGGCAAGGAGGAGTCAGTCTAGCCAATGTCGAAGAAATGAGTCTCAAGACCACAGACAGGCTGCTTCAGGGCCAGCTGTGGAAAAGGCTACATTTGTTAACATCCCTGACTCCAGAAATCTCTACCTGGAGGGTCTTGGCAAACATAACAGGTGTATTTCTCTGGCACATTTTCTTCCAGTAATCCCATGCAGACCCCATGCTGCCAGCACTGGCACTCTTCACACTGTTAGAATTAAAGAAGCAATAAAAATTAAACTCAGAAGGTATCCTCTATCCAAAAATAAGACCCACTATAAGGGGAGGGGCAGGAGAAGGATCAGGGAGGGAGAGCACTCCCAATTGACCTACTCAGGAGCTGAGCTGCAACCCCTCATCTACAACTGTGCCTGCCACTATGGCAGCCACTGGCCACCTGTGGCTCTTTACATTTAAATTAACAAATTAAGTTAAAATTCAGTTCCTCGGTCCTATTAGCCACATCCTAAGCGCTCAACAGCCACATGAGGTTGGTGGCTTTTGCACCAGACAGCACAGATGAAGATCATTTTTAGATCTATAAAATAGTGTGATCTTACAAAAACGACTGTTTTCTCTCCATTTCTAGAGGCTTCACTTTTCTGATCGCTTTATGAGAACAGAGGAAAAACTGTTCAAGTCCTCAGAGGAAGATTTAACTTGGAATGACAAAACCCAAGTTTGAATTCTAGCTCAGACATTCATTAGCTGTATGACCTTGCATAGGTCACTTCTCCTCCTGGGGCTTCAGTTTTCTCCATTTACAAAATCAGGTACTATTCCTACTGACCATGTGGGGCTGTTTGTGAGGAATCACCAGTCATATATATAAAAGTTCCCATCACAGAGCCCAGCACATAGCCTTTATGTATTAGGCACCTATTACTACTACTAATGGACAACCTAATTTACTTTGCTAGCTCCTGGAGTAATCACATATTAGCACTTCAAGTTTATTCTCTCTAAATCTTACCAAAGGTCACACAGCTGAAGAGAAGCAATGGTGAAGAGAAGCCTGTCAGAACACAGGCCTGGCTAATGGCAAAGCTAGTTCTTTTTCCCTGAGGCTCCACTGCCTTACTTGGGTAAGGGGCTATAGGGAAAGTGGGGAGAAGAAGGGGGAGGAGCCAAAGGGGGAAAGAAAGAAGCAGACAATGAATGAGGGCAGCACTGGGAGTTATGTGGATGGCCTGAGGATAGTAAGCCTGAGGGCTAAGGGTCCAGAGGAGGGAATGGAAAGGAAAAGTGATACCAAATCAGATACTAGGACACTTCATACAATCTCAAATCAGGACCCTAAGCCTTTAACTACCCAACCAAGTGGACAGCTCTGGAAGGTGGACAATGAGCTTCCTTCCTTCCCAGCATGGCCTTGAGGGTGGGCCACCAGCCTAGCCACAAGGAACTAAAGTCCTCATCTATTTGGAGTCAGACAGGCCCTGGCATCAAGAGGGCTTTTGTGGGCAAATATGAATCCTCTAGAAGGCTAACTGCATCAGAATCAATAGCTGGAAGCAAAGCTGGAAGACAGATTCAGAACCGATCCAAATTCTTCAACTGACAGATGAGGGAACTAGGGCTGAGAGGGAAAGTAAAGAGTGCACAATAACACAGGGAGTTAGTAGCAGAAAACAGAATTAAGAATGAAAGTCTGTCTCACCAATGAGTTTTTAAGTGTCTTGAGAACTAGGGTTCACTAAAATTCAATCAAATATAGTTAAGTTGAAAACTTCAAAATAACTTTTTACATATGGGTTTGGCATTCATTTTCAGAAGTTTAAATTTAGAAATGAACAAGAATAATAACAGAAAGGGTAAAATATCTAAGAATAAACCTAAGACTATCTAAGAACAGAATATCTAAGATAAGATATCCAAGAATATCTAAGAATAAAACATGCAAAATCTCTATGAAGAAAATTCTAAAATACTATTTAAAGGACACAAAGACTTAATTCAACGGTAAGGTATATCTTATTCCTGGATAGCAAGAGTCATCATAATGATGTCTTTTGTCCTTAGGTTAAATTTATGAAAATAATAAAAATTTAAAAAATAATAAAAATAAGCAATAAATGAATAGCTGTGGAACTGGATAGAAGCTGATCCTAAAATTAACAGCCAGGAAATTTGTTAAAAAAAGAATAAAAGGGGGTACTAGCCCTATCAGATATTTAAAAAATATTACAAAGATAAAATAAGTAAAATAGAATTGTCCAAGCAATATATAAACAGATGGATCAATGGAAAAGGAGAATCCAAAAAAGCAATCCAAATACATATGGAAATAAAGTAAGAAAAGGTAACATCTCAATAATGAGGCATGTGTTGGGACAACTGGGTAGCCATAGCTCTCACACCTTATACCAAGAAAAATTCCAGGTGGTTCAAATATTTATACAGCTTTAAGAAAAATAAGTGAAACTTCAAAAGTATCAGAATCAACCATGAGAGAATTCTGTTATAAATTTTTATGAACTTCTAATGAGGAAACAATTGTTACTCAAATCTCAGAAGCCATCAAAGAAAAGTTTGATATAGTTGATTCAAAAAATCTGGAAGTTAAAAGATGACAAAGCACGTACAAATATTCAAATATTTTTAACTCTTCTCACAACTGATACAAGAATGTGTCTACAAAAAGGCTATACAAACAAGTAGGAAAACAACCAACCATACACAGAAAGATGGATAAAGGACATGAACAGACAAGTCAAAGGAAAAAAATCTTTTTCTTAAAATGTCTATTTATTTTTGAGAGAGAGAGAAAGACAATGTGCGAGTGGGGGAGGGACAGAGAGAGAGGGAGACACAGAATCCAAAGCAGACTCTAGGCTCTGAGCTGTCAGCACAAAGCCCGATGCAGGGCATGAACACACAAGTGGTAAGATCATGACCTGAGCTGAAGTCAGATGCTCAACCAACTGAGCTACCCAGGCGCCCCAAGAATTAGATTCTTTGGGGGCACCTGGGTGGCTCATTCGGTTAAGTGTCTGACTTTGGCTTAAATCATAATCTCGCAGTTCGTGGGTTTGAGCCCCACATTGGGCTGTCTGCTGTCTGTGAACAGCTATCTTCAGATCTTCTGTCTACCTCCGTGCCCCTGCCCCACTTGTACTCTCTCTCTCAAAACTAAATGAACATTAAAAAAAAAATCTAATTCTTAAATAAAAAGATGTTCAAATAAACCCAACTAATAATATGCAATACACATTAGCATTTCCAGGTTTGGGGATTACATAAAAATATCAAGTAATCCTTTTTTTTTTAGTTTATTTCAGTGATATCTATACCCAACATGGGGCTCGAACTCATGACCCCAAGATCAAGAGTCAAATGCTCTACTGACTGAGCCAGTCAGATGCCCCTATAAATATCAACTAATTCTGTATACATTTATGCACTGTCTGAAATTTTTATAATAAACATTTGCTACTTTTATAAATGTGTTAGTCTCATAAAAAACTATTTATAGAGCATAATTTTCATTTATATGCACATGTATATGTGTGTTCCAAAATATTAACAGCAGTTATCCCTGGGGTAAAAATAATACAGGTAATTGTTTTCTTCTTCGTGATTTTCTGCATTTTCCAAATGCTACAAGTACGAAACTTTTTTTTAAGTGTATTTAAAAATAAATTACAAAATGGTTATACCAATAAGACTATTTTTTCACTTATCTGAAAAGCAAAGATAAAGTCTGATAATACTCTGTACTGAACAAGGTGCTCCTAAGACTGTTCTTTGGTACAACCTTCAGGGAGGGTTTATATAATATTGCTATGAGAAAAAATAACATTTGTCAAATTTAGACATGCACATAACCTGTGGCCCAGGAATTCTACTTCCAAAACTTGGTCTCATAGATACACCTACAAAAAATTATTCATTACATTACTGTTAAGGTTAGAAACAATCTATATGTCATCAACAGGGGAAGGGTTAAATAAATGATGATCTATCCATTCATTATGCAGCCATAAAAAAAAAAAAAAAAAAAAAAAAAAAAAAAAAAAAAAAAAAAAAAAAAAAGAAGGGGCTCCTGGGTGGCTCAGTCAGTTAAGCGTCCAACTTCGGCTCAGGCCATGATCTCACAGTTCATGGGTTTGAGCCCTGCATCGGGCTCACTGCTGTAAGCCTGTCAGCGTAGAACCTGCTTCGGATCATCTGTCCTCCTCTCTCTCTGTGCCCCTCCCCCACCTGTACTCTCTCTCAAAAAATAAAACATTAAAAAAAATGAAAAAGCTTTTTTATGTTTGAAAATGGAATAGTCTTCAACTATTGTTAAATGAGAATATACTGAAAATACTACATATAAAACAACATTTGTGTTTAAAAAAAAAATAGTTGCACAGCAATGTGAATGTACTCAATGCCAATTCACCTAATGCCACATACACTTAAAAATGGTTTAAAATGGTAAATTTTGTTATTTTACACCAAAAAAAAAGGAAAAAAATGTAGAGAATATATTTGTTATTGCTTGATTAGTCACAGAGTGTTTCCAGAATGCTACATGAGAAGTTGATAAGGGCTGCTTTGAGGGAAGGAGAAGTGGGGGGTCAGATTTCCTCTGTATATCCATGTATATACCTTTTGGACTTTGAACTATGTGAATGCATTAGCCAGCAACAAATAAACAATATAAATTTTAAAACAAACAAAGCTTTTAAAATGGGCTTCTGTTTAAAACTGCTACACAATTTTTACTGGGTTTGGCACATAACCTAACAAATATTGTTAGTCTAGGGCAAACTACTGTCCAGAGGCTAAATTCAGTTCAAGTCCTGTTTTTGTAAATAAAGTCTCATAGGAACACAGCCATGTTCATTCATTACATAATGCCTACGCATGACTGAGGCAGAGCTGAGTAGTTGCAACAAAGACCACATGGCCCTCAAAGCCTACAAAATTTATCACCTAGCCCTTTAAGAAAAAGTTTGCCCAAACCTGCCCTAAAGCAATTAAAATAATTTGAGTATCAAATGGATTTCCTGATGTTCATTTTTTATGTGGCACAAAGATTTCTCAAATATTCATGATTATTAACCTCCCAATGATATAAATTATTAGCACTGGCAAATAAAATCTAATACCAATAAAGTAATTAAAATGATTAGAGAAAATTATTCCTTTAAAGTAAGGTAGGCCTCTTCTACATAACTAACTCTAAATGTATTCTAGGGTGGTGCAAATTATCAATGTAAGTTAAAAATTTATTTAAAAAATAATTATTGCATCTTCCTAGGTGATGAACACATGTAAATGAATACATTTATGAAGTTTAAATTATATTTGTTCCAGTTAGCTCCTTCCTAATGTATGCCTTTTGCTAAACTTACTGAGTAGAAAAGGTATATTGCTCATGACAGGAAGTCAAAACTGTCCTTCTATGCCATAAAACCAGCTGGACAGCAAGCAGACAGCACAGAAAAGTCTTCCACAGCAAAATCCAAGGTGTTCCGAAGTGAGCTCATCATCACAATACCAGACAGGAAGTCACAAGCATTGAGCTGAGCTGAGCTGAGCTAGGAGATGACCATGTAGAGCCTAGGAAGTTGGAGATGGAAGTCACTTCCAGACTCTGCCTTGTAACAGCTGGCATGGCCTCAACAGCTCCAAACCTAAGTAAGTTTCTTCCTTTAGCACATAATGACACACAAAGTTCTCCCCCTGCCCAAACCCCCTCTAATCCTTGCTACTTATAGGAAAATCAATGGAAAAAGTACAGTGAATCAGAAGCAGGTCTCTTATACTGATTAACTAGAATAGTCTTGCCAGGAAGACCCTTCACTACTCACCCACTAAAGATTCCTATGGACAAATGAAGACCAAACCAGGCTTCCAAAGCCCAGAACTGAGCACACGCCCACAGAGTAAAGATAAAAACTAACAATCAACATCCTTTTTTTTTTTTAATTTTTTTTAATGTTTGTTTATTTTTGAAGGAGAGAGTGAGTGAGAGAGAGAGACAGAGCATGAGTGGGGGAGGAGCAGAGAGAGGGGGAGACACAGAATCCAAAGTGGGCTCCAGGCTCTGAGCTGTCAGCACAGAGCTCGACGTGGGGCTTGAACTCATGAGCTGGTGAGATCATGACCTGAGCCGAAGTCAGACGCTTAACCAACTGAGCCACCCAGGTTCCCCAATCAACATCCTTTTATTATTTTTTTTTTAATTTATTTTTTTTAACGTTTATTTATTTTTGAGACAGAGAGAGACAGAGCATGAACAGGGGAGGGGCAGAGAGAGGGAGACACAGAATCCGAAACAGGCTCCAGGCTCTAAGCTGTCAGCACAGAGCCCGACGCGGGGCTCGAACTCACGGACCGTGAGATCATGACCTGAGCCGAAGTCGGACGCTTAACCGACCGAGCCACCCAGGCGCCCCTCGACATCCTTTTAAAAACCAAACTTAAAAAAATATTCTACTAAAACAATAGTTTCCATGTTGTATTAGTTTTCAAGTTCTAGTCTACTGAGCTTCTGCAAATGGGTGTCTTTTTAAAAATAGGTCTATTTGGGGCGCCTGGGTGGCTCAGTCGGTTAAGCGTCCGACTTCAGCTCAGGTCACGATCTCGCGGTCCGCGAGTTTGAGCCCCGCGTCGGGCTCTGGGCTGATGGCTCAGAGCCTGGAGCCTGCTTCCAATTCTGTGTCTCCCTCTCTCTCTGCCCCTCCCCCATTCATGCTGTGTCTCTCTCTGTCTCAAAAATAAATAAATGTTAAAAAAAAATTAAAAAAAAAATAGGTCTATTTTTCAAAACTAAAACACAAAATGCACATTCAAATGTATTCCAAACTTAAAGTCAAGACTAAGACAACACAACCCACCAGTACATATAATTCTGTACTGCTAGGCTCGCTCACTATTGTGCTATACTCGGAACAAAGCTTTCCCTCCCATCTCTGTTTAACCAAAATGACCACACAGCCTGCTGTTTAGGAAGAGTCACCTATACAAATGGCCATGTCACAAAAAGAGAAAACCTACTGAATCACTGAAATGCTCCAAGTTGGCAACTGTCACTCAGAACCCTGATGGCATAGGCGACTTCATAGGAAAAAGCATGCCATTAAAAAAAAAAGGAAAAGCATGACATTCAAATTTCTGAACTCAAAAGTGAAGATGACTTATTCTGAATTTTCAAAACTACTGCATTTAACTTGTTAGACATTTTGTGATACTATGAAAGAATTCATAGGAAAAGGGGTTCTGATGTTGAAAAGGTCTGAAAACCACTGACCTGAGGCTTACTAAAGGTCATAAATACGAGGTACTATTTGAAACCATTCATGTACTCTGAATTCCCAGAGATTACCATGAAGGCTATTCAAAAACAAATACCCAAAGAATCCTAACCAATATAACCATGACTTACTTTAAAAACTCAGGTTCCTTGGACAGTCCAGGCAGCTGCCAAGACACGCAGGGTATTTATAACAGCCTTTAGAGTCAGCCAGACAGCAGCCACCTTCACCAGAACTGTCATTAAGAGCAAAAGAAGGGCCAGAGGCAAGCAGGCTCTGGCCAGTGATGGTCTCCCCAAGCAGCGGAGGAGGCCTACCCCATAGGCAAATCCAGGGATGGAGATGACAGATACAAATGTTAGGAAAATAAAGAATAAGAAACAGACAAGTTATAAAACTGGCCTCCATTTCTTTAGGCCATAGAGAAATTTTATATCAGAGAGAAAGTAAGGGACCATAGGAAGATTCAGCTGCCACTCCAGAGATTTGGATCCCTGTTATTCAACTCCTTACTGTGTGACCACAGGCAAGCCTCATCCCATTGGTGGGTCCCAGCTGCCCCAAGCAGAGCAGGAGACTTTCAGACTCAGTGGTATCTCAAGTCTTCTCTTAGTCTACTAATGGGCTATTTACACCAGTCTGAGATTCAGAGGAAGCTGCACTACAAAGTAAAGCTCAAGTGCTTCTACTATTACTGCCTATCTGGCTGAGGCTTCTAACATGACCTATTGTGTTTATTGGCCTCAAACTGCAGTCGCTCAAAATTCCCTCTAAGGACTAGTTTGTGTTTCTCAACGTCTGTCTCCTGGAAGCTCTACCTACCTGAATCATGAAGTCATTTTCTTCCTGAACCTCACAGATGCAGCGGACCACTTCAAAATCATAGCGGTCGTCCCCATCGAGTTCCTCGTCTGGGTTGGTAGTCACATCAACATCTTGGCCATACTCCTCGTCACTCCAAAGAAAGCTCTCAGAAGAGGACTCACTCAGATTATCCTCCTCTGAGAGGAAAAGGAAAACAACAGTCACTATTTTAAATTATAGTTATAATCTTTCTAAAAACCTAGGATGTCAAGAGTGGAAATGACCTTACAGCCCCACTCCTCTATGAACTTTCACAGAACTCAGAAATGGGAACTCCAATCTATTCCTTGGGCCTGTCATCTAATGACAGCTAAATGATGTATGCTACCTGGCAATGAACTGAACTCCACTTCCTCATTTTACTGAGTGAGGCCCAAGGTAAGTGGCTACTCAAGGTCACAGAGCACAACAGCAGAGAAGGTCCAACTCCCCATCAACTACACAGATCATCCTAATGACTCAAATATGTTCCTCCATCTCATCCCATCCAGCCAGGAACTGACTTACCATCAAGTCTATATCCAGATCCACCTTAAAAACTCTGTAGACAGTGGGAAATGAAGTGGGTAGATTCCAGGGATGATCAGAACTAGAATCACTAGATCTTGGTGCCTCATAAGTTATAATTACAGCTAACCTTTACTGACCACTTATTTTGTACCAGATACTGTTCGAAGTAGTTTCCATATACTTATTAATCCCCTCCAAACTCACAATCACCCTCTAAATTGCTACAGAAGAGGAGGTTTCAAGGTTGACTCAGATTTCCACAAGCAACCAGGTTAAATGCAGAGTCCATCAATAAGAAATGAAGGATTGAGAAGGGCAAGTGTGCAAGAGGATGGGGTATAATGGATTTGGTTATAGACACACTGGAATGGCATTCAACCAAGACCAAAGTAGACCAAAGTTAGAGAAAAGGGAAGTTTAGGAAAGGCACAGCTAATAGCCTTTCTTTTATTTGATGTAGTTTTTTATTTTGAAAATATAACCCACTGTAGTTGCAGAGGACCTGGGAAGTAAGTTACAGTGTCAATATAAATCCAGCCTTCTCAGACTGTGGTCCTATTCAAATGATGAAGCCAGCAGACAGCCTCCTTACCAGTTACTTTCACTTTCCCTTTATGGTTTCCAGATTCTGAGCTATGGAGCTGCGGGCTCATATGGACCCCAGGCTTATGTGAGGACCCACACCTGGTGACAGCAAATGCCTTGGGTGGAGAAGGTTCCTGAGATGTATCACTGATTTCCTCACTGCAAGGGCATTCTGAAAGAACAGGATCAGGAAGGAATTAGTACCCCAACACATCATCAAGGCATTCCAGAATCAATCCCATCCAACCAACAGCACTGCTGTTCAAACAACTCAAAGTCTGAGGAGCAAGTCAACGACAAAGGGGTGTGGAGGATAGATTTAGGGATTAATACTTCCAGCTACCTTGAAAAACCTCAAAACCAAAAGCTTCCTCCTCACCATCACCCTTCTCCCTCTTTTCCTGATAAGACTGGTTTTCTAAGCCAGAAGATAACACTGAGAATAAAACATGGCATCCCTTTAGCTCCCAAGGTTGGAACCCTGATTTTCTTAATCAACATTTTTGTGGGAGCTAGACACACAATTTTCAAGAAGTAATCCTTTCTTGAAAGATTTAGAGGTATGTGTTTAAGAGTTGTATATGTAAGGGGTGCCTGCCTGGCTTAGTCGCTAGAACCTGTGATTCTTGATCTCGGGGTTGTGAGTTCAAGCCCCATGTTGTGCTGGGTATAGAGATTATTTAAACAAAAACAAAAACAAAACAAACAAAACAAATTTTAAAAGGGGGGCCTGGCTGGTTGAGTCAGTGGAGCATGCGACTCAATCTCAGAATCATGAGTTCAAGCCCCATGTTAGGTGTAGATTACTTAAAAACAAAATCTTTATGGGCACCTAGTTGATTCAATTGGTTAAGTGTCCAACTTCGGCTCAGGTCACGATCTCACGGCTTGTGAGTTCAAGCCCTGAGTAGGGCTCTGTGCTGACAGGTCAGAGCCTGGAGCCCGCTTTGGATTCTGTGTCTCCCTTTCTCTGCCCTTCCCTGACTTGGGCTCTCTCTTTCTCAAAAATAAATAAACATTAAAAAATAAATAAAAATAAATAAAATCTTTAAGGGTGCATGGCTGGCTCAGTTGGTGAAGCATGCAAATCTTGATCTCAGGGTCATGAGTTCATGCCCTGCATTGGGCATGGAGCCTACTTAAAAAATAAAAATAAAATAAAATAAAATCTTTAAAAAACAACAAAAAAGAGTTGCGTATGCAAATAGCCATTAATCTGCATATCCTCTCCTATTATAATGCTTTCATGTGCACTATCCTATGACAGGGCACGGTGGCCAACGCAGCCAAGAAAGAAGGCCTTCCTAAATGTCAATGTGGCCTTGTAACACCCAGGTTGAGCAGACTCCTGCCCTGCCAGGGTTCATGCTAAGCTGATCCCACAAGCTCCAGTAAAGGCCCACTGGCCCCTCCTCTCCTCAGTGCAGGCTCAGAGGCCAGGAATGGGGAGAAAGTAACCCCTCCTAATCCCATGGTAGGAAACCCAAGTGAAGGGGAAAATTACCAGGTTTGGTTTTCTTTTTCTTTTTCTTTTTTTTCTTTGGCTTCACTCTCACAAATTCTTTGAATTTCTTCTCTTTATTCTTTTCCTTGTCTTTTGCAGCTGGAATTAAATACAAGTATTGGCTTAACATTTTGTTTTTAACACTGAGATGTTTATTCTCAAGTGTATGTCCAATGTGAAGAATTAAAATTGGCAACAAAACAGAGTTCTGGATCTGGTTCTGCCTAGGTCACCTTCCAACCCCTCAAGGCTCTAGAAACCCTTCTCCCATCATCTAGCCTTTAGATCAATGGTGGGCAAACTCTGGCCCATTGCCTGTTATTTTAAGTTTTATTGAAACACACTATGCTCATTTGTTGATGATGGGTGCTTTCATGCTTCAACAGCAGAGGTAAAGAGTGAAGATGGAGACTTTATGGCTCTCAATGCTGAAAATATTTATCTGGCCCTTTACAGATTAAGTTTGCCAACCCTACTTAGATCACGGATCCTCAGTGGCTACGTATGCAATCACTGGGAGAGGTTTTTAAAAAATGAATGCTCAGGAATGCCAGGGTGGCTCAGCTGGTTAAGCATCCAACTCTTGATTTCAGTTTAGGTCATGATCTCACGGTTCATGGGTTTGAGCTCCAAGTGGGGATTCTCTCTCTCTGCCCCTCCCCTGCTCACACTCATGCATGTGCACTTTCCCTCTCTCAGGATAAACAAACTTAAAAAAAAAAAAAAAAGTGAAAGCCCAGGTCCCACCCCCAGAGATTCAGATTTAATTAGCTTGAGGCGTGACCAGCATGTCAGGAATTTGTTCTTTCTTTCTTTCTTTTTTTTTTTTTTTTTTAAATAATTGCAGTACAATTCACATAACATGAAATAACCCATTTAAAAATGAACAATTCACAGGGCACCTGGGTGGCTCAGTCAGTTAAGCGTCCAACTTCAGCTCAGGTCATGATCTCATGGGTTTGTGAGTTCAAGCTCCACATGGGGCTCGCAGCTGTCAGTTCAGAACCCGCTTCACATCCTCTGTCCCCCACCCTATCCCTCTCCCCTGCTTGTGTGAACTTGCTCTCTCAAAAATAAACAAACATTTTTTAAAATCTTAGGAAAAAAATGAACAATTTGCACCTTCCAAATACCACAACTTCATTCTCTGCTAATCTTCACAGTAAGTAAACTCAAGTCATCAACACTCCCTTGTCCAAACTTCTCACTTCACAATTTTTCCTAATTCCATTCTAAAAACTTCCCACCTACCACTCTACTGAGACTGTTTTCAGTTTTCAAAGTTAACAACAGCCTTACTATTTCAAAAATCCAGTTGTTTAGCTTATCCAATGTATAAGCTAATAATTGATCACGCCTTACTCTGTAGATATTAAGAAGTGTTTAAGCACACATATTCTGTGACCTAACCACTCTACCCCTAGATATTTACTCAAGAGAAGGGATAATGTGTCCATACTAAGACTTGTACATGAAAGCCCACTGAAGCTGTAGTTGTAATCCCCCAAAGTGGAAACTACCCAAACCTCCATCAGCAGGTGAATGAATCATTTGTGCTGTGTCCATACAATGGAATACTTATCAGCAGGTTCATCTAGCTCTTCAGCACCATGTCAGCACCGCAACCCAGGCCTCTCTCCCAAAGGGGCACCCAAGAACCATCAGAGAGGATAGCAGGCTGTCGTACTAGCTGTTAAGCCTGGGCTCTCCAGGCAGAAGTTAATCTACTGGCTAAAGAACACAGGAATTAAGGGTCTCTAAGTTCCCTCCTTGTTAAAATACTCTGCAACTGAGAAACTAAGTTCAACAAACAAGAACTTTAGAAAAGACCTTAAATCTAATTTACAAAAATACAATTTAAGATTAAGAAACCAAGGCCCAG